GTGGTCAAACTTTTTGGACCGAGGACCACATCTGGGTGGGGAAATTGTACGCAGGGCCAGGGCACGTGGTTGGGGTGCGGGAGGGAGTGCGGGGTGTGGGAGGGGGTGCGGTGTGCAGGAAAGGGCTCAGGGCAAGGGATTGGGGCAGAGGAGGGGTGTAGGGTGTATGAGGGGGCTCAGAGAAGGGGGATTGGGTGCAGGAGGAGTGCAGAGTGCAGGAGGGGACTCAGGGCAGGTGTGCAGGAGGGGGTGTGGACTGTGGGAGGGAGCTGAGGGCAGGGGGATGGGGTGCAGGAGGGGTGCGAGGTGCAGGCAGGAGGCTTAGGGCAGGGAGTTGGGGGGCAGGATGCAGGAGGGGTTCGGGCTCCGGCCCAGCGCCACTTACCTAAAGTGACTCCGGGTGGCTGCAGCGTGTACTGGGGACAGGGCAGGCTCCCTGCCTGCCCTGGTCGCACAACTTGCCACTCCAGGAAGTGACTGGCACCACGTCCCTGCATGGCCCCTGGGGGAGGGGGGCATAGAGCTCCTCGTGCTGCCCTTGCCACACCGCTAGGTACCTCCCCTGAAGCTCTCATTGGCCGCGGTTCCCCGTTCCCGGCCAATGGGAGCTGCGGGGGGCAGCACCTGGAGGCAAGGGCAACGCATGGAGCCCTCTGCTCTCCCCCCCGGGCGCAGGGACGTGGTACTGGCCACTTCTGAGAGTGGCGTGGAGCCTGCGGCACCACAGGGGGCAATCCCGCGGGCCGTAGTTTGCCCACTCCTGATATAAATACTTGAGACCAAGGACCTGTATTGCTATGCTGCTTGGAATTTGGAGAGGGCAATACTTCTAAGCATAAACAAGGGATCCCCAAGCTGCTTAGATTGGGTTAGCCCTGAAGGACACATAGAACTTGCATATATAGCAACTATTACCACTTTTTGGAACCGAAGACTGTAAACTCATTTGCATATGTTTACCTGCTTTTATTTTGTACATAACACTAATTTTTTTCTGAGTATTATAGGATTGGCTACAAGCATCTTTAGTTTGAGATCTGGGGTACAATTGACCTAGGGTAGGTAACTGGTCCTTTGGGACTGGCCGTAACCTGAATATTGTTGTGATTTTTGGTGGAAGGAGCCATCTGTCATGGAAGCAAGCTTGCCTAGGTGGCAAGATAGACCAGAGTACCCAAGGGGACTGTCTGTGACTCCATATTAAGGCTGTTGTAATGCTTGAGGAGCTCACGCTTGATACTTGATTGGTGAAATCTAAGTATAGAACACACAGCCAGATTGGGGTTTGTGGCCTGTTTATTAACAGTCTGCCCTGAGGTTGTCACTCATGGTCATGAGCCACTCAAGACAGTTTGACCTGTGGATCTGGAAATGAAATCACTAGTGTTCTATATATTTAGTACATAGGTTTTTTTTTTTCAATTGGCATCTTAGTTGCCAATATAAATTTTGCAGATTAACATTTTCAAGAATTACAAAGTTATTAATTTTAAAATGAAAAAAACAAGCATTTTCCAGTGGGAAAACATTGGATCCTAAGGAATCTTTGCTGCCCCTGATACCGGGGCCCGCATCACTCAGGGCTGTGTCCTGCAAGTTTTTATGCATGCTTAATTTTATACATGAGTAGTACCATTGACTTCACTGGGACTGCTAATGTGCATAAAGGTTTGCAGGATTGTGTATCTGAACTCTAACTTCTTATATTTAATTTTTGAAAGTGTCCTTTTATCATTATACATTTTTGTTAATATCAGCGGACAGTGAAGTCCTCTGTTACTAAGTAAACAATTGAAAGCATCTTCCCCATGGATTGGGAAGCCTAGTCAAGCAGCTAAAGCATATGACTGAGGTTCAGAGTATCTGTGATCTTATTCTTTCCCTTCAGGATAGTTACTCATGTTGAAGTCAAGGTGGGTGGGACCTTTGTTCTATTTCTTACTTCAACACAGATTTACTGTGCAAAGTTGAGCAAGTCTTCAGATCAAAATGTTACAAAATCAGAGGCCACTTTTGTTCTCAGGCTATATCTACACTACCCTGGTAAGTCGACCTAAGTTATGCAGTTTCAGCTACATGAATAATGTAGCTGGAGTCAACATAGCTTAGGTAGACTTACTGCAGTGTCTACACTGCACTGGGTTGATGGGAGACACTCTCCCTTCGACTTACCTTATTCTTCTCGCTTGGGGTGGAGTACCGGGGTTGACCAGAAAGCAATCTGCGGTCGATTTGGCGGGTCTATCAACCCCCGGTGCATCAATTGCTGGAGCATTGATCCAGCGGTTGTGTAGACGTAGCCTCAGTTTTTGGGTGCCCACATCCAGACAGCTGAGGCTTCATTATCAGAAGTGCTGAAGACTCACTGCCTTCTGCAAGTCAGGCCTTTAGTGTCTAAGTTGAGAACCCCAAAAAATTATGACCTGAAATCTCAGGCTCCGCTTTTGAAAATTCTGCTGCAGATCTTGTTTTACTTCAGTTTTCCTCTTTGGTAAAATGTGAGCCACACAAGTGGTATTGTGAAGCTTAATTCATTAAGATTTGCACATTGCTTTTGAACAACTCAGAAGGGACACTCCAGAAGTACAAAGTTTTATTTTTCTCAAGGGTAAATTATGATGGATCAAGTGTTTGCTTAATATTGTAAAAGGTAGAGTGTTCAGAGCCTGTTATGCTAATTAATAACTTAATTCCACTAATGCACTTTCTTCCACTAATTTTTACTCCATTTTTAAGCAAAATATATATAAGTGATGTTGGAATCAATTAGTTTGTCAGGTGCTTTCAAGTTATTTTTGATGCAGTGCACCGCTAGAGTAACCTAACAGGAAGTGAAGAATATCTTCATCTAACCGAAACTGCAGGTTGAAATGTAGGCTTTCAGAATGTTGCTACTCTTATTTGAATTTGCTAAGGATATAACTAACGCTCTCATTCTTCAGAAAAACACTATGATCTTTAATAACTAGTGGTCAGGACCTTGTTTTTACTTCTTCCCTGAAAGACACCAACACAAGAATGCTGATCAGATCAGTTAAGCTTTTGGCTGGAAGCTTTCCAATACGACTGCTATCTGGGCAATGTTCCACAGCTGTGAAATCACTTTGGTAGTTCAGAAGTGGATTGATTTAACATTAATTTAGTTTGTAATACTGTTTGAAATTCAACTTTGCTGTATTTGAATCTTTTCAATAATACCTAGCATTTAATATAGAACTTTACAAAGTTTGAGGTGCCTCTAATAAAAGTTAAGGATAAATATTTTTCTAATTATAAATTCATATCCTTAAAACTGCATGGGAGAGGAGAGATCTCACTACTCAAACCATCCATCAGCCACACTAAATGTCCAAAATAAGTTGTATTCTGCCTAAATCTCTAATCAAACGCTGAAACCTACACAAAAGATCTGTGACAAATACAGTCATCATGCAATACTGCACATTATTGTGTTGGACTAAAGTGGTAGGCAGGACTACATTACTCCTGCCTCAGCACAACTGGACTAGATGATCTCTCAAGGTCCCTTCCATGCCTACATTTCTATTATAGTAATTTGGAACTTCAGGGTAGCAGCAGGGATAGAATTCAGATCTTCCTTCACAGAGAACCTTTTTCTATTTTAATCAATGACAAAGCTCTCCTTGACTTTAATGGGAGCTGGATCAGGTCCCAAAAGCCCAGGCTTTTACTACTTAAAATAATCCTCTTTTAACTGTTTGCAGTAAAGAGCGTTGGAGCAAGTCCCTCATCCTACAAATACGTATGTGCGTATGGTTAAACATGTAAGTATTTGGAGGCCCGGGGCTGAATACTGTATTTAATTTTCACAACTAGAAGTTATATTTTTAATAGAACAAAACAGAGATTTCATGGAGAACATTACATTTTATGAAAATGTGTTAATATCCACTTTTAATCAAACAGTAATTTTTTTTTTAAACAGGCTTCTATAAATGTTTCAGTACAGATTAAGATGACGAACCAGTCAAACTCTCCACTGCATTACACTACTTTATACCAGGTAGTACAACAAAAAGGAGACGCAGGCCTAAAGACTTTCAATTTGCTTTTAAACATCCGATGAAGTGAGCTGTAGCTCATGAAAGCTCATCCTCAAATAAATCTGTCAGTCTCTAAGGTGCCACAAGTACTCCTTTTCTTTTTGCGAATACAGACGAACACGGCTGCTACTCTGAAACCTTTTAAACATTGCTATTTTAGTTTGAATAATTCCCAGAATTCTGCAAAACACACATTTAATAAAAAAAAAAAAAAAAAATCAAACACACAGGCTGGCATTTCTACTCCAGCAAAGCCGAATGTTTTATTTTGCCGCAGCACATTGTACAGATGTAACTTTCTCTTTTCTCCATTTAACTTCTGGTCCCCGCTTCTTTCTCTCTTCCCCATGGTTTGCTCCCTGGAGGTTGCTATACTTTGCCTAACTGCTTCCTCTGCTTTTGGCCAGCTTCTTCCCAGCTTTATTACTTATGGTACTGTAGTGTTTAAGAGCCCTAGTAGTGGACACGGACCCCATTGTGTAGGCCCTGTACAAACATAGCACAAAACCACAGTCCCTGCCCCAGACTATACAATTAAGTTTGAGAGAGCGGACAACAGCTGGATGCATGGGGGGGGGGGGGGGAGTACATGGAAACAATGAGACAGTTTCCGTCAGCATGATAAGCAGTGGTCTCAGCACAGCAGCTGCTTACTTCTGGTTGAGGGTTTTGTAGGCATCACCCCAAAGGGGGTTTTGAAGCAAGAGGAGTTGATCTTTCAAGACGTTGAAAGGGAGCGTGAGGGGCAGCACAAACGTACTGGTTTGAACATGTTCCTCAGCAACCCCTGTTCCTCCCCCAGCGACCCCCACTCCAGCTTCTTCCCGCCCCCTCCTCAGCTTCAGCTCCCGCCACCTCCTTCGGGACCGACTTTCCCGCCCCGCCCCGCCCCGCCTTTCTTCAGGCCCCGCCCCTCTTCAGGCCCCGCCCCTCGCTCCGTGTTGCTGCTCCTGCGTCATTTCCTGGAGGCGGGGCGGACCGCAGGGAGAACCTGCCTCGGCGACCACAGCGGCTCTTTGATGGCGGCTGTCGGGCGGCCGCGGCCCCGCCGGCTCCGGGTGCTGGGCGGGCTGCGCCGCGCCTAAGCAGGCGCCGCGTCTCTGCGCCATGGGGAGGCGGAGCAGCGGCGGGCGGCTGCACTGAGGCGGCGGGACCGAGCGGCACTTTCGAGGGGAAACCCCACTCCGGGACCTGCAAGGCCGGGGGGATGTTACGGTGGATCCGCCAGCAGCTGGTAGGTTCCGGGCCGGCCGGAGCGAGAGGGGCCGAGCAGCGCGAGGCCTCGCCCGGGGCAGCGGAGGGGAGCGACCGTAGGGCGAGGGGGGCCGCCCCGCCCACTGGTAGGCGGCGGGGGCGGCCGCCTTTTTGCCCTCACCTCAGAGCCGCTCCTGAGGGCGGAACTTTCCCGCCTCGCCCCTCCACCAGCCCCACCCCCACGCTTGCCCCGTGTGCCTGGACCCCCGCCGGGCCTCCGGGGCGGCTGGCCCGCGGGGAGCCTCACCTCAGGTCCCGCAATCCCCTGTTCCGTCTGAAGCGCGCCCGGCCCGAGCCCTTCCGCCCCAAGCGGGGCCGCGCCGAATCCAGGCGTCTCCCGCGGCGAGCGAGGGTGACTTGAGGCAGGGCTGAAGTAGTCCGGGACTCTCGCTCCTCAGCCTGTCTCACAGCGAAGGAAGTCAGAGGCGGGCTCCCCCTCCCACCATGGCAGGCGTGGTGCAGTTTGACGGTGGTTAAGGAAACGAGCGAGTCTTTCCTCCTGAATGCGGGATGTGTATAAAATAGGGCTCAGAGGAGTGAAATGTGGCAGGGCGGCTGAAATCGGGGTGGATTTTTGTTTTGTCTTGAATAAGATATGTTCCTGCAGCTTTCAGAGTAACAGCCGTGTTAGTCTGTATTCGCAAAAAGAAAAGGAGTACTTGTGGCACCGTAGAGACTAACCAATTTATTTGAGCATGAGCTTTCGTGAGCTACAGCTCAGTTCACTGGATGCAAAGTACGAATAACACGGCTGCTACTCTGAAAAATGTCATTTTCAGTGGCTGGACAAATTCTGGGACTCTCCTTTCCTAGCACAAAACCTTTGAGTCTTCTCTTTTGAATCCTTGCCTGTCCCAGTTCTCAATACATGGGCTCTTAGAAGCTGAGATAACTGAATGAATAAGATTTTAAACCTGATTGGTAACCTAACATAAAACAAAATCTTCCATTTTAAGTCGGACACTCTTGATTAAAAACTGCATTATGACAGACTAGTGTAGAGAGACTCCTTCAAATGAGCAAGAGTTGGTATGCCTGTTGCACAGTACTCTGATAGGAACACAAGGCAACTGTACAGTAATACACACATTCTCTGCCAGTTCAGAAATAAACATAAATTGATGTTTGCTGTCTCCCTTTAAATCATTTGTCAATAAAATAAGTCAGCAGCCCTTGAATGCCTTCCAATTCATAATGCAAAGTGAAATGCAAACTCCCAATTAAAGAAATGTTTTTGGAGTGTCCTGTGGATAGATGCTTCTATTATTTTTAAACACTTATTTCATTGCACTTATCTTATGGATGGCATGCTTTATACAACATGTTAGTGTGGCTAGAGCTTCTCTTATTTATTTATTCTAGTTTGTTTAATTGCAAGCTGTCGCTTTTTTATGATGTAAAGAAAAACAACGCCAAGACTGGGTTGTTTGTGGACATCATTTGCTTTTTTTGAACTAGTTGATAGTCATGAAGAGACCTATATTTTAGATTATTTCTGATTTAATTATTTGAAGCATAGAGCAGCCAGTGACACTATGATTGCCAGTTTTGACTGTTTTTATTGCTTTGGTGTGATGCTGAAGTTTTATGTCCCTGGAAATTAATTGTTTTATCTCAGTTCTGGCTATACACTTTTTTGTTTTATTGCATCCACACACAAAAGGTTTACTAGTCTGTTTGTCTCATCAAGAATGAAGACTTTGATGTAGTGCAGTTGTCTTTCATGTTTACTGTGACGATGGGATTACTGTAGAGCCTGCCTGTAAATAGGTTGGGGTTTTTTTAAAATGTCTAGTCTCTTTCACACTAAGTGTACCTTGAAATATCAGTTCTGGATATTAATATATAAGATATGGTTTTCTTTGTTCTTCAAGTGCACTGTAATACTGAGCAGTTCTTCAAAGATTTTTAGTCTTGGAGTAGAAAGGTAAATTGTCATAGTCTGCATGCTCAAGATGATCCAGTACATTTAAGATAACTGCTTAAAGTGTGGCTAAAAAGTGACTTTATATGCAAAAATTATAGCGCTATCCTAGATTTTTAATTACTTAACCTGCTGTTTATTTTTAAAGTTAGACGTTGGGTTGTCTGAGCCCACAGCTCAGTCACTGCAGGTATTGAACTTCATGTTGCAAGCTGACAATGGCAGTTTTCTTAAGAAGGTCCTTAATATTTAAAATACTGTAAACTAAAAAAAAATCAGGTGAATTAAAGGTATTTTTTCAGATTATCTGAAGATGAAGCTGTGATCTCTCATTTCTATAAAAATAATAAATGGCCCATAAGATTCATTTTATTTGTAGTTTTTGTCAATGTTACTATGTCACTGTAAAACTTTACTCTAAAAGTACAAACATCTATACCACAAAATTCAGCTAAACAGTTATGTTTTAAAGAATGTTCTGAAGAAAAGAAGGGGTGGCTGGTCAAAGTTGCTTTAACAGTGGAGGAAATCAGGAAAAGAGGAATCATGATGCAAGGGGAAAAGGATTGGGTTGAAAAAGGGTGCTAAGAAAGCAAACCTGAATGATGGGAAGGATGAGTCATGTTTCTTTTTCTTTTGTTTTTAACCTCCGCATGAGGTTTCATAAAAACTCCTTACATTGAAATTCAGTATATGCAAGCTGCCAGTCTGCGTTCTCTCACAGCTCGCTCCCTCACTGGTGCCCGTACATACATATTGATCTAACTTTTTAATGTTAATAAAGGTTCAGCAAACAGTTGTATTAGAAGAGAACATAGTAGTGCTGAATAGCTGGGGTGAAATAGTGAGAAGGTATTAGGGAAACAGGTGAGCTGCAAGAGAAATAGTTTTGATTGTGCCATGGATGGCATAGAGGTTCAAGGAGAACTGGGGCTATTGTGGGGAGGTAGAGGCAGAATCTAATTTGATGTGGGTAGGAGGAAATATACTTTGTTTTGGCTATCTGCTGCACATGTGTTGGGTGTGGCAATGGGTCTTGAAACAAAGTATGCCTGTAGATGGGAAGTTTGGAACCTTGAGTGTCTGAGTGAGCCTTATTTCAGTGAGTAGGAGTACTGAAATAAGAGTGTGGAAAATAGCAGGGAAGCAGTGTGGGAATGGGTATCAGTGGGCAGGGCAGATATCCTGCTAAGGCTGCATCTGTGTAGATTTTATGTGAATATAAAGTTAACAATTTTTGTTTTACTGACAGTCCAGTACTGCCTATTGTTACTGGTGAAATATGCAGAAATAGGATCACCGTAGTACCTGAACACCTGTGTGCACAAGGAGAACAGCAGGAAGACTGGTGTGCCCTGAGATGTAGGAAGGATGGTAGGGGAAATGGGTTACTGATAGAACCTGATTCTTAGCTGAAGAATTAGATAGTAAATTCCTCAGAGTGGTGACTTTGCCTCATTTTTGTCTGTGAAGGTCTATGCAAACCTCTAGTTTTGTACAGCTAAGTCATTGGCCTAGATCTCTCGTGTTGGGAGGGCTGTGGAGCCCTCATGACTGGGAAGGCCATAAATAGAAATTAGCAGTAGCTTCTCAGGAGGACTGGATTTGAAGAGACTGAAAATGTAGTGTGTGTTTTTTTTAAAAAAAAAAAGGAAGCATATAAAAGAAGCAGGAGAAGCAACAACTTTAAAAAATGAACACAGTACAATGTATGATGAACTTATTAGCATTCATCACCATGAAGAGAGTAATTGTTCTACTCTGTCCCTCTGGTCTTTCAAGGTTTGTTTGTGTGTGTGTGTGTATATATATATACACACACTAGTTTTTCATTATGGTGTATGAACATGTATGTTACCTTTCTAATGCACATGAACAACAAGCATGAGGGGGTATAAACAGAATAATTTGGAGAACTGTTTTGCAGAAAAGGAGAGAACAATCCAATTTGAAAACACTTTTGTTGTCGAGATGTAATCTAAAACTATTGTTTTAAAATAGTTTTCCTTCAAGATAATGTTAATATTGCTATACAGTATTTCTCACAAGCCTATAAACACTTTACAGAATTGCAGAACTGTACCTATATCTGCATTAATATTTATACATTGTTTTGAATATGTTTTCCAATTAACTAGTCCTATAAGATAACAGTGTTCTTAGAGATATTATTGATGAACACAGAGCAAGATAATGTTGGTAAGGCTAGAGGTCAGTGTTCAGTGTACACACATGAACCTGTAATACCAATCACTAAGTTCTGTTCTGTTAGGTACTGTGCTAAATTTCTGCATATTACATTAATAACTCTCTGCGTTGTTAGCCTAATTAGTAAAACTTTAAAAAATGCAGCATCTTCAGTTGTTTTCATTTACATAATGCCAACATTCAACAAGTCATGAAGTAGGTTTCTAACTAGATTACGCTACTAGCTGCCAGTTAATGTATATACTGGGTGTGTGGGAGAGGAGGTGGAGGTGAGACCAGCGCAGTCAATAGTGATAGGAATGGGCTATGGAGCGTGGAATGTGCTTTTCTATCTTGGAAGCAGCAGCAAAGATGCTGGTGCCCTCACAATATCTAATCTTTTGATTACACACACAGTCCGTGGGTGGATTTGTTGAGGATTCGTTAATTTCATAGGTGCAACGAACTCTGCAGAAAAATGCAGCCAGGCTGGTAAAGAGCAGTTAATAGAACACTGCATTAACACAAAATGAAAAGTGTCACTTTGCTTTTAAACAGTAATGATGGTACTTTAAGACAATACATTTTTAAAGTTCTACATACTTCATTTGAAATGCTAGTGTTCTGGAGTGAAATATGTCAAATTTGAAAGCAGTTTAGTTAGTAATAATTTATAATATATTAAACAAAGCGTTGTAGTTCAAATCTTGCATATCTTTGAGTATTTAGATGTGAAAAATCAGACACGTAGCCTGTCAGAAATTACTCTGATTTTGGTGTAACTGGCTAAAAGATTTTTTTTTTAAGAGTATGTGAATAATTTGAATATTTCCCATTGGGTTATTCAGTAGATGCTATGAGCCTGCAAC